TTTAGGGACTAGGAAATCTCTAAATCTTTTTTATAATAACCCACAATATATCCATCCAGGCCAAGGCTCTTCCCTTTAGCCATATTTTTTAGGGCTAAGGTGATTTCCTCCTGGGTAATAGGTCTCTCTAGGGCCTCTAATTTTTCTTTTGCTATTCTTGGCAACTCCAATTCATTTAAATATTTCTATTTTTCTTCTTTTCCTCCTCCTCCATTTCTTTTTGGTTTCTGGGGCTCACATTGTAAAGCTGGCTCTAATATTTTTGGAACCTATTAGCAATATCAGTGGTGGTGTACACCATTTCTCCTTTGTCTACTTTAATTTTTTTCTATAAAGTTTTTGGATTCTTTTCTGTTAGTTTCAAGTATTTTCCAGGTCTATTCCCTCACTGATTTCTTTCTTTTGAGACCCTGTTGAAAATTCTTCTTGACTCCTATTCCAAAAGATCTTTTAATTCTTCTCTTTTAATACTTATCTTCTGATATCTGTACCTATCTTCTTTTTGTGTGACTGTTCTAACCTGTAGAGCTCCTCCATCACCGTCTTTGTTTTTTTCCCTCGTTCTCTCTTTTTTTCTGCTCCCATCGAAATCAATATTCCTCTGATATATGCTTTATGTGCCTCCCAGATTGTATCCACCGACACCTCCTCAGTCTCATTGAGCTCAAAGAATTGTTCAATTTCCTGCCTTAACCTTTTTTTCTAATTCAAGATCCTGTATAAGCATCTCATTTAATCTCCACATAGTTATCTTATCATGATCCCCTCCTACCCGTAGTCTTATTGTGACAGGAACATGATCAGAAATAGACAAAACCTCTATGTTGGTACTAACCAACGACTCCAATTGCCTATGTTCGATCATTATATAATCTAGTCTTGAATACGATCCATGTATTGGGGAGAAAAAGCTGTAATCTCTTTCTCTTGGATGTGTTACTCTCCAAGTATCGGTCAATTGACACTGGTATAATAATATCTTCAATAATTTTGATTTCTTACCCCCCTCTCTCCACATACAGGATGACGCATCTAGCTGAGGGTCAAAACACAACCCACATCCAGACTACCCTTTTTAAATTCAGAGAGTTTCCTTAACACACCCTCCAAGAATGTTACTGAACATTTATTTGGGCAATAGATATTAACTAGTGTATATTCAGATCCTTGTAATTTTCCCCTCAGAAATAGAAATCGGCCCTCTGGGTCCTCCATTCTTTCCTCCAGGATAAAACTCACATTTTTTGAAAACCCAATTGCTACCCCTTTAGCCCTTTTAACTGGAGAGTCTGCGTAGTACCATGTTAAGTAGTACTTCATATATAACTTAACATTTATATCGTGGGTTATATGTGTCTCTTGAAGAAATACTACATCTATGGAGTGTTGGTGAATTTCTCTAAGTATCTTATGTCTTTTTGTTGGGAAGTTTAACCCTTTCACATTGTAAGTCATAAACTTAATCCAGCTCATTTCAACTATTATTTCCCTACCCTACGAGGATTCCCAACACAGGTAGACAGATGGAGACATTTTAAGATATGGACTTTCTCCCTTCCCTCCCTATCAAAAAATCCCCATTTTCTTCCCACCCCCCCCCTCTGTTTTTGCCCACCCACCACCCCATTTCCCACCCTCCATTCCCCCTTCTTCTCTTTACCCTTAAACCTTCCTGGCCTACATATTGCCCTGGAATCTGTCCTGAAATATTCTCACTAGCGATTCCTAGTATAGGGTGAGACTCAGAACACGCCGACCCCAATCCTTACCTCATATCATCCACATGATTGGCCTCCAGACTGCCTGCCTGTTTTGGTGAAAGTTGAGCTTTAGTTTTGTGGGCAGATCGGCATTGAACAATAAAATGTAACTTGCATTTATTTTCTGCTTTTTGCAGTTTATAAGTAATGCTTTTTTCAAACTTCTTTACTAAGGCAAAGAGAAATGTACAATTACCGTGTCCATATTAGCCAATCAGTGCTTTACAAAATTTTAACAAAAAAAGACATCTGATTGGGTGCTACAGCCTGTACTACTACCCTATAATGATTTATACATCATTGTTTCTCTTCTTGTTGAATAAGTCTTGTTTGTGAGTGGTTTGAATTTGTTTCTCTCACTGCTTGGAGTCATAGTTCATCTTGGATGCGATTTTTACTTATTTTGGTAATAATTAATCATTCCAAAATACACAAGTGGTTTTAGTGATATTTGCGAGAGCTTGTGAAATACTACCATTATCTAAAAATAATAATTCACAAGCTGGTTTATGGAAAAGAAGTTTTCATAACGTTCCCGGACAAATATCCAAACATTTTGAGGATCTTGTGATAAATGTGAATATTTTAACAGACTCCCAGGGCAAAAAAAAATAGTAATGCATTGATTTTAAAATCATTAAAGCTGAAGTTTAATCAGCTAATATTTTGCCTTCCCTGGACATTTTTAAATAAAACCTTATTGTCTACATTATATACCATATTTTAGACCCAGTGATGTCAGCACTGGGTCTCTGCACTTCTTTATGCAATGCAGGCAGATTATGACTGGTGGGAGGGGCCGGCAGGGTGCTGTGCAGAGCTTCTCAAAAACATCACAGTGCCCGGCCTCAGTACTCCTCTTAAAAGCCCTCAGCCCTGTTCTAAAGCAGTGGGGTGGTGCTTGGGAGGTGTTATGCAAATATCAAAATGTCTTGATTGGTAGCGTGCAGGGTAACACTGCATGTGATACTGAGCATCTATAATCAAAGATCTAAAAATCAATAAATGAAAGGGGCAACCGGGGACATTCAGGCTGGGGAGAAATTAACTAGATGATTGACATCCTTAAGGCTGCTAATGTGAAAGTAAACCTGTCCTGAACCTGAGCAACAAACAAAGTTGAGCTTGCCACTGCCCCCAGACATCCCCATTGGTTCTTGGATAAAAGGTCTTTTTTAAATTCTGTTTATTGGAAACAAAGTGACAGCACGGAGGAAAATCCACATGTAGAGAAATGATTGTATTACATATACATCACTGGTGTGGTAGTAAAACAAAAAAATGAAACAATACCAGAACCAGGGTCCTGTGTGTTGTCATCTACCCAGTAGAGTTTCTCAACTGAGACTTTTATTTGCATCTACGACCATTATCTTGGGATCTACTGCTCATTTTGACTTCCACCAGTGCTGCTTAGGCAAACAAGCACTTCTGGCAAATGTCCAAACTGCCAGATGACAGGCCTGGGCATAGTGATGTGTCAGAGAAAACCACACCGTGGAACCTCCATAAACTATACTTGTTTATTTTACATTAGCAAATACCACTTGGGTATTTTGGACTCAATTGCAGCCTTTCTCAACCCTCAAAATTAAAGAACCCTTGAAAGAGCTTTCCGGTTTCAGGGAATCCCCGCTTATAATGAAACTTTCTGCAGCTTACAGGACATCAAAGAGGAAGCAACAGCAAATTGTGGCTATAAGAATAAATGTTAAAATAGGGAATGTGGCACACTTAGTATATTTGACACACAGGGCTGCTCTATATGACAAAGTTTTTTCAGTAATAATAATGAAATTAAATCATTAATAAAAATAATAATGGCCAGAAAAGAAACTGAGACCATGAAAATTACAGCGTTCCCTCAAAATGGTGGTCAGTAGAAAAAGTATCCCCACGTTACTGGTGAATACAAAAGTACCCCTTTACATTGGTGGTTTGTGAGCTGCTTTGATGCAATGGTGATCAGTGGGGAAGGTCCCCTCAGATTGGCAGTTGATAGAGAAAAACCCTATTACACTGTCAGTAGGTGTGAGCTCAGATATGCTTTGATCCTAGTCTGAACCCACCTTGGCAAGGTCACCATGAAGCTGTCACTGTACTGGATGGTCAAGGCATACCCCACCCGGCAGCCAGACGTACACAGGCCCCTTGGCTGTGGTGAAGGGAATGCCCAAGCCGCAAATGATTGGCACAATACAGTGACAGCTTACTGATGGTCTCGCTCAGGGAGGTTCGGCCTAGGATCCGAACACACCTGAGCTCATCCCTGGCGATTAGTGGGAAGAATCCTCCCTTACAGATGGCTGAAAAGGTCATTGGTGTTAGTGGTAACTTATCTGAGAGGCAGAAATTGCTTATTGATTAAGGAACCCCTAGCAACCTTTGGAGTAACCTAGTTGAGAAAGTCTGTATCGCTATTCTAAAGGATAAGGACATTTCATCTAAACTCCACATTATGTGACGATAGTTCAATTGGTGCCTTTTGCTGTCCTAATTATGACAGTTTTTTATTTTCAATTGGCTTTTACCATAATTAAAAAAAATTGGATAGAAATCGATCAAAATTGTCTGTTCTATGGGCAGCCCAACTCCAGGAGACCCAAAAACCCTCTCTTTCAGTGAAGCTAAGCCCACACTGCAAGTGTTAACTGCTCCTTTTTTTTATCCAGGGGAGGAAAAGCCATTTCACATACCTGATCCTCCACTCCCATGGCAGACAATGCTCATCCATGCTCTGGCAGTGGACTCTTTCTGGCATCCCGACATCCAGTGCAAGGCTTTAGTTCCTGCATTGGTCTTGATGATGTCAGAGGACCTAAAACTGTCACAGTATAGGGGAAAAAAGGCTGTGGGTACCAGTATAGCAGAGGAGCCTACAGTAGTGGAGTATCAGGTAAGTAAAACATCTTTACCAAGTCCCCTAGACCTAAACGAGCAGTTTAACCCTTGCAAGTATCGACCGTACTGCAAGAGAGAATTTTTAGATTTCCTGGTTTAAGTTGGATTTGATAATTTTTTCCCCCATTATATTCAATGGTTTAGTTCCTGGAAAACTAGGGTCTAAGTGTGGTTGAAAGATAATTGAAGACCCCAGAACTGTTTTGTGTAGGGCCAGTAAAAAGGACCACAAACAAGTCATCTATCTAGATTTTCAGGTGCATGTTCAGCTGTGTTCAATTGTGAGTTCACATCAATCAAATTCACAATAGAATATTCCATGTTGTGTCCTTTTTTAGATCGAAAGAGCGAGCGGAGTTCTTGAATAGGTCAAGTCAGAAAAGGTAAGAGGTGATAATATTTTCAAAAATGCCTTTTAAAGGATCTGTCTGCCTTACTAAACCCACAACAGTAAAATCAGTCTGTATATGTACGTAAAGCATGCTTGTTATACTCACTGTGGAACCTAAAGGTTTAATCCTCTGCATTGTGTAAAAACGCTGTTTGATCCTGACTTCTCTGATCCTCCCCTTCTTCCAGTGTCCCCCTCTTATCTACTGATAAAACATATTGTGTGGAGTTACTCTGCACATGATCAGTTTGGTGTGTATTGCTAGAGTTTTTTTTTTTTTCTTGGGAGAGTGCATGTGATCAGCACAGGGCCAATCAGCCAATTATGAGATCAAATAAAGAATATTCAAATAGAATGTATAGTTTATTTTTCTATATTTAATTATGTCAAGACTTAAAAAAAATTAAGTAAACAAAATTGCCAAAGTTAATAAAGGAAGAATTGCTTTTTTTTAAGTCCCCTATCATGAAATATTACATATGAATATTTCATATTTACATTTCCAAACAGGAACATTTTTTAAGCTCTTGTACCTAGGTTTCCTCTGTTTCCTTTGCTTCTTTGTTGTAAAAATCCTTATACAGTGCTCAATAGCTCAAGCTGAAATGAAATTGCTCTGGTGACCCAACAGCCTTCAGAGATGCAGTATGTATTAAAAGTTAGTTAAATGTGTTTTGCCTGATCTGAAGATTGAGGGTCATTTTATGTTCCCTTCAGGCTATAGTCACACCTTTGAATGCACAATAATATGCATTGACCCATGTGGCGTTAAGGCAGCTCACTATCTCTGAATGGGTCCTTAAAAAAGCATCAACATGAAAACAAAATATGCCTTTATTATTTTTGGTCAACACACATTGCATACATACCTCTGCACTGTAGTGTGCTTAACAGCAAATGTGTTGAGCCATACTGTATATAGGTGTTGGAATACAATTCAGAACACGTCAATGCACCTTCATTCAAACATACAGTGCTTTGTAATCCATTGCAGTTTTAACACCCAGTAGTGTGCATCCAAAATTTGTGAATTTAACTTTAAAATGTATGTTGGTAGAAGTAACTCAAATCACGGAAACAAACTTAATAGGATAATAACAGCAGGATTGAAAATTTGATGGGATATCACTAGTAATTATGGTGGAGGAGCAGATGGATCCGTAAGCACATGCACAGGGAATGGTAACATTAAAGTGTATGTATGGCCAAAACATTTTTATGTTTTAGATGGCATCAGGAAGGATTAGGACCCCTGCCAGCTTTTTTTTTTATTGCTGCATGTGTCTCCAATAGCATCATTCATCTTCTTTTTTTGTGTTAGTGACTATTTGTACAAAGGCAGAAAGTAAAGGGATATTCACAATTTTACAGTTGTCACTAGAACAGAGAGTAATATAAATCTTCCAATGGGACAGACAGCAGAACACAGAAGTTTTGAACTTTTCCTCCTAAAACACAAAGGTTTGGGCTATACATACTTTTACAGAGAACTGAACTCTGGAAGTTGTGCCCAAAAAAGTCAAACTAAGAGCAAAGAACTAGTGCCCAGTATTCCCAATGTTTTTCCTGCAGCTGATATTTCCATCGCTGCTGGCTTACTATACCTTGCTGTGTACTGTGTCTCTGTGTGAAGGCGGCCATCTTGGTAGAGGCAGGGCTTTGCGTCCTCATGGTACAGCCTCCAGCAAGGAGAACAACAAGCAGCAATATCACAAATTCTCACTCCAAATCTCTTGAGACTAAAAGTCAGAGGCAGAAGTGCCTTAGATCATATTGTGAATATACTTCTTTGAGGCTGAAGGCACAGGGGTGCCCAGGCACACTCATTTTTCTGAATGAATGCAAAGTGTTTATTGATTGGACAAGGTGGAGAAGCAGGGTGGTAATGTTACACTCTCCAACTCATTTAATAAGGGAATGTTTTGTATTCATTGAGAAAATGTAAAGCATTCTCCAAGTGGCCGACCTCCTGTACTTACAATGCATCAAGCTAGCTGCTCAGTACAAGACCTGAAAGCTTGTGGAGATCTTTGAAGTAGTGTTTACTTCAGTGATGTCTAGCTTTCAGGGGGATCACCCAGGTATGATATATATATATATATATATATATATATAATATATATATATATATATATATATATATATATAGTTTCATTGTTCCAAGGTGGACCAATGTAACTATGTAAAAATATACCATGCATGGAATTATTCTTTAACAGTTTTAACTTTTCCCTATGGATGAACCCTTAAAACTTTATGAGCACTATGGAAACTTTTTCACACCTCTGAAAAATGATCAAAGATTGAAAATAAAACACTGCAATAGTTAAATTAAATAAATGTATACATATGCCCAATGAAGACCCTCACCCCTCTGAAGGGCGATCAAAATTTGAAAAAAAAATTGATTGAAAATACAGAGTACAATACTCATAAATACATGTAAGAAACCGTGCTTTGTGGTCAAATTAACCTAAATATCATACATTATCTATGAGCCCTAAGAAGACCCAGTATCCATTTAAATTAGCCTTTTAAGAGACGATATCCTCTTTATATATTTACAGCTTTGTGACTTCAGTTGTTTGGGGATTTGCTCGGTTTGATCTTACATACATAACTTTTCCCTATAACGTAGCATATCTTCACTTTCTGAGTTCAGTTCCACTTCAAGTGACTTAAAATTCCTTAGCATTAACAGATGACGTTCCCAATGCGCCACTGCTGAAAATCTCCAGTTTTGTTTGCGATCTCCACTTTAATTGTTCTGCAGCTTTCCATCAACTTCCTCCGTTTCCATCTCCTAACAGAGTCGATTCTGTTCTCAGTCAAGAACTCATTAAAAAGTGACAAGTTCCCTAAAACAAAAGCTGTTTTTCATGATTAAAGCAGTACGTGCACTTCCCAGACCCTCAAACAGCCTTCTGTAATTTGTGATGTTATCGGCGATGTTAGTAGTCAGAGGAAGTGGGAGACTAATGTTCATTAGTCTGCATTTTCCTGGAACCGCTCAATTTCTGCCCTTGTCTGTCTTCGGCTGTCATTCTACAATGTCAACACCAGAGGGCAGTCTTTTCCCCTTCCCAGAAAAGCAGCAACACCTGAACTGGTCACACTTTATATAAATATTAGTGTGAGATCATAGCAGATGGTATGTCCAAGTGACAGATCTCTTACAAACTCTGCAGGAACATGTAAAGAAATAAAACGTTTGTTGTCTGTAATTTTACAGGCAGGTGTTCTTCCGCATCATATGGATTTAGTTTACATAGTTTAGACACAACAGATTTACTGGCTATTAAAAACTTATTTAGAATTTATATGTTGATTTTTAAGCAGAGATATTTCCTGTGCAAGTTGTGAGCGCACATTTTCCTGCATAGACAGACTGTCTAGACATTAAAGGGGAATTCCGCTCTATGTTCAAACAATGCAGACATGTAAAAACGACCAAACTGTACTGTAGGTTATAGATACGATTAAAGTAGATCGAAACTCAATCACTTAAATCTCGATTTAAGTTTTAACATGTAAACCACTTGCGGACTGCCTGCCCACAATATACTGTGATGGGCGGCCTATGCAGGTAATGCAACATACTGGTATGTCCAGGGGCGGACTGACAACTCATGGGCCCCCGGGCAATATGGGATCATGGGGCCCCTGTGTCCTTGCCCAAACTCAAAAAAGCTTATGAAAAAGGTACCAAGGGCATCTCATGGGGCCCCCTACTGACCCAGGGCCCTTTGGGCGGTGCCCGAGTTTCTAAATGGTCAGTCTGCCCCTGGGTATGTCGCTGCCTGCTTCTGGACTTAGGGCACGGACATTGGTCATCAGGGTAAAGCAAGGATAAAGAAACAGATCTCTTAGTAAAAAGCAGCACATAATACGCATTACACATTGGTAAGCACCTATTTACCCTCTGATTGTCCTAAACGTTAACCCCTTTCCAGCCAGTGTCATTAGTACAGTGACAGTGTATATTATTAGCACGTATCACTGTATTAGTGTCACTGGTGATGTCAGTGGCAGTTAGTTCCCCCCAGCATCAGTTAGTGTCAGATTACCCGCCATACTATTGCAGTCCCGTTATAAGTCGCTGATCACCGCGCCATTAGTAGTATAAAATAAATAAATAAAAATTCCAGTATATACAGTATACATAGTTTGGAGACATTACTGTATAACGTTCACGCAAACCAATCAATATACACTTATTGGGATTTTTTTTTTATCAGAGACATGTAGCAGAATACATTTTGGCCAAAATATATGAAGAAATTAGATTTTTTTTTTAAATTTTTATTGGATGTGATTTATAGCAGAAAGTACACTTTTTTTTTTTGTTTGTTTGTAGTGCAAAAAAAAAAAAAAAAAGTGGTGATCAAATACCACCAAAAGAAAGCTCTTTTTGTATGAAAAAATTATACAAATGTCGTTTGGGTACAGCATTGCATGACATTACCCTAATTATCAGTTAAAGTAGTGCAGTGCCGTATAGCAAAAAAATGGCCTGGTCATGAAGGGGGAAAAATCTTCTGTAGCTTAAGTCGTTAAACAAATGTAAAGCCAAAAGTTTTATTTTTTCTTGATTTAAATAGGAGCTTAAAACCTATCAGGGTATTTTTTGCTGCCTCTGTGTCCTTTGGGGGATTTCCCTTTACTTTGTGTTCTGGAGATGCAAATCAGAGGAACCTTTAACAAATTCCCATCTTAGAGAGTTGTTGAAAGGAACATGTGACCCCAATGAAGGATTTTTCCTCACTTCTTGCTCTGGTGACAACTCTGACATTTATGGATTTCCCCTCACTTTTTGTTTCAATGACAGCGGTCACCAGGGTACAAAAAAGGGTCAATCTCTCCAGCAGGACAGATAGCAAAAACCTTTAAAGGGACCAAGCCCTTATCACGTTATCAAAAAGACCCCAAAAGTCTTGACATGCACTTTAATGCATATTGAAGTTGTTTTCAATCTTTTAAAATACAGAGTTTTTCATTAAAATAATATACACACCAATATTCCAAGGCAAGTACCGTTTCAGAAATGCCATGCTGCCTTCCTGTATTGTCACCCTGTTACATGTGCCTTTTGATGGTAAAAAGCTGCTGTGCTGACACATATTGCACAGTTGTGGTCCACTGTTGTCACTTTCAGGAGGCTGGTCCAGAGAAATGGTGTGTATGCAGTTTAGATAGGAAGTGGCTGAAAAAGGCTGAAAAAGGTCAGCATCACTGAAATGTAATAAACCTGGAAACTGTTTATGATACACAGTGCTTTTGAAAATGAAGCGTTATCCCATAAGGGCTTACGTCTACTTTAGGTCATATGAAAATAAAAGTCAAATTATATACTGTCCATTGTTTTCTTGTAAATCATCAAATTAAATAATCTGACCAATATATTTTGTGAATGGAGACATACTGTATGTGAATGACCAGCAGGGATGAATTCAGGCATGTTCGGAAGTGAGTCAGAACCTTCCTGAGCTATTCAGCCAGGAATACTGCAAACAGCCAGTCATAAGCTGTTCATGAGCCTGCACCACAGCCACACATATTCCTCTACCTTCCTCTGTATATGTATGGGGAATTGCCTCTGCTGCTTATGATTGGCTGTCCACAATGACAGCTTCCTAGCAGGATAGCACAGGAGGGTTTGAACCTAACAATGCAAGTGTTTGCTTTGTAGAATGACTGCCCTATGTGCTCAGTATCAGAAATGTGGAATCATTTTATAGGTTACATTTTTCATTTTCTAACTAACAATTTTATTCTACAGTGTTAAGGCTTCACAACCAGCTGTAGTGTCCAAGATTGACAGCCGACTTGAGCAATACACCAGTGCAATTGGAGTAAGTATGGTATAATATATTGTGAGAATTAAAGTGTCAGTCCACAAAAAATGGTATTTTAGTTCTAGGTGGCGCTTGGTGGGCTCTCTCTCAGACCTTGACTTCTCAGGTGTCTTGGACACTCCATAAGCAAGATCTCCCCGCCATAATTCCTGGCTCTGCTCCTGTCCACCTGAGAGTTTTGTCTGTTTCATCTACTCCTGTTTCCTTCTTCATAATGCTAAATAAATATTTTCAGCAGGAAGAGTGGGAGCCCCTCATAATGAGTACAGAAGGTATGTAGACTCATGATTTCTACAGAGAGACCTCATCAGCATAGTCCTTTAGAGATCCTATAATGACTACCTAATAACCCCTTCCTACTGTGGGAGCCATTGAATGACGTTTAATTTAAGGAATTTCCTGGGCTTTCCTGGTCATGTGATTACTTGTCACAGTGATCATGTGATTGGGAGCCAATCCTATCAGCTCTCGATCCTTGCTAGGTGACCGGGAGCTGTCAGTGACAACACGGTCACATTACTGGGAGCACTGATTGGGCACACTCCAAGCAACACAGCAATGCCAGCAGGCTCTTGTATGTAACAGCACAGCATGTAGACCACCACCATGCTGCCACAAAATTGTTTTTTGGCTGATGTTAGTTAGTTGTCCATTATTAAGGAAACAATGACACCTAGGGGTTTATTTACTAAAGTTGGAGAGCTCAAAATCAGGTGCACTTTTGCATAGAAACCATTCAGCTTCCAACCTCAGCTTGTTCAATTAAGCTTTGGCAATAAAACCTGGAAGCAGATTGATTTCTATGCAGAAGGGAGCCTGATTTTTCACACTCCAACTTTAGTAAATAAACCCCCTAGAGTCTATGGTAGGTTTTAAGAAAAACCTTGAAAAACCAGGCATGCTATCAAACAATATATATTGCATACGTACATGCATACACACAAACGCTATTTGACCCCAATATGGATGGACCCTTCCTTAAAATAGGCTCACTATTTGACATCTGATTTTACTGTGTTAATACCATATTAATAGAAAGGGAAGGAATTAAATGTTGACTTTATTATGAATATTTAAAGCAATGTTCTAAAAAAATGGTAATAATTCTCTTTAACCCCTTTATGAAACTGATCCCATGTTATATACAATGTTCTGGATGTCAGAGCAAAAGAGTCAGCTTAAACTATCTGTAATAATTTTTCATGCATTCAATTTCCAGAACAACAAAAGTGCCAAACCTGCCAAAGCTGCTCCATCGGACCTGCCACTGCCAGCAGAAGGTGTTCGTAATATCAAAAGTATGTGGGAGAAAGGCAACGTTTTCTCATCCCCGGGGGGTGTAACGTCACCAAACAAGGTATGTACACTGTGTAAAATACAGGGAATCTGTAATGAATTCAGGTCAATTTTATTTAATTTTTTTCTCCCTCCTGTGCATCTTTCTGTCTATCTATCTATCTATCTATCTATCTATCTATCTATCTATCTATCTACATATATATTATATACAGTATACACACACACTATATATACTATATGGCTATATGTATGAGGACACCCTTCCAGTGGTGTAGTTCAGGTGTTTCCCGCGAGGAGTACTGGTAAGACTACAACATACAAGGACATTTTAGACAATTGAGCACTTCCAACCTTGTAGCAACAATTTGGTAAAAGCCCTATTTCTGTTCCAACATTACTCCTATGCATAAAGCCAGCTTCATAAAGACATTTTGGTGTGAAGGACCTCAAGTGTCCTGCACAGAGACCTGACCTCAACTCTACTGAACAATGTTTGACTGAATGGGCATACAGTTCTACAGAGACACTCTAAAATCTTGGGGAAAGACTTCCTAGAAGTTCAGAGACTGTTATAGCTATTAAAGGGGAATGGGGGCAACTCCGTACTAATCCCCATGGTTTTGGAATGGGATGTCCAACACAATCATGTACAGGATATAATTTGTGTTTTTATTCAGTTAGAAATGATTACTATTGAGTCCAAAATTGATATACTGTTCTTTATGGTTTCAGGAAACGGCGGGATTAAAAGTGGGTGTTTCCAGTCGTATTAATGAATGGCTAACTAAAACTCCAGAGACCAACAAGACGCCCTCAGCAAAGCCTGCAGTAAGTCGAAGATCACTTGTCCCTTTTCAATGTGTACCATTAAAGGGGTTGTGTTGCTAACAGTGAAGAGAGAGTATTTAAGAGCCCTGGCAGTAACAGAACATGTACTGCGATGAAGCTTTGGGGGAATCAAAGACAAAATCAACGTGCTGCATGTAATCTGTTCCCACTACAGCCTCCATGCTTTTAGTTGCCCTCTTTCTTCTCTTCATAGATAGCAATGTCATGCTATAACCACTATTTGCCTCCTGATGTGAGTTTGTTGTAATATAACAGTGCATTTGACAAATGTAAGAGGATGAGAACTTAATGACCAACAGGTGAGAAGACCTGTGCAGCGGGTGATCAATATAGCTTAAAGCGGTTTTAAAGGGTTTTTTTTCTTTTTTTTTTAAATAGCAAACATGTTATATACCTGGTAAATGGTTTTGCACAGAGCAGCCCCGATCCTCCTCTTTACAGGTCCCCCAGGGTTGGTGTTTGTCGCCCCTCCCCCTTGCTGAGTGACCCCAGCACAAGCTGCTTGCTCTGGGGCACTAATGTTTGCTCACTCCAGAGCCAGCTGTGTGTGTTTATGGGACACACAGAATCTAGCTCAGTCCTGTCCCTGTGGAGAGAGAGACCAGGGAGAGATGAGGTTCCCGTACACAGCGCTGGATGAAGATCAGGCTCAGGTAAGTATTAGGGGGGCTGCGGGGGATTTGCACACTGAAGCCTTTTTACCTTCATGTGTAGAATGCATGAAGGTAAAAAGCCTTTACAACCACTTTAAATACATTTCAGACCAAAGTTTTATTTAATCCATTTCTGTCCACTGAGGGCGTATTTCTTTTGTATTTTTTAATATACAGTTCCCTTAAACAAAAAGCTTGTGCCATAAATGCCAAGGCTGTCACAAAAAAATTATGGTATGTCAGTTGCAATTTTTCTGAACTTTAATGTGGAACTATGGGCAAAATAAAAAATGAGAAATACTGTATATTGTGGTCTGGCCCCTTTCACACAAGCTGTCAGTTTTTCAAGTGTACCCGATCGGACCCTGCATTCTCCTCTATGGAGCAGTGGGTGTAAATGGGCATGTGTCTCTTTACACCAGCCTACATCCAATCTGATCCAGTTTGCTAAAAACAGGTGTCTGGACGGATCAGGTGGCAGTCCAGTGTATAGAGGAGAGTGGTCTGTGTCTGCTCTGCATAAGTGGAGCGGACATGGAGCAGTCATCCGTCTGCACGGCAGGGATCTGTGGACAGATACTCCACTGAGCAAGTGGACTCCTAGTGGAGCCCTTCTTGTGTGGAAGGTGCCTTACATCTAAGTAGTGGGGCTGTGCCTATACTGCAAGGTTAATTGCTCCTTTAGGTTTAGGAGACAATAAAAGAAGATTTACTTACTTGATCTTCTCCTCTCCCCTAGACAAAACAAGCAATTAACCCTTTCAGTGTGGGTAAAGCCCCAATGCAAGGGATAATTTTACATTTTGGGCTTTCATCTTGACAGTGTTGTAGGCTGTGGATTCTCACAGCTCTGTTTTGGTCCATAGCATTTAGCAGTGTAAACCCAAACAAGAAATTTTTCAATCATAAAAATAAAATAAAAAAAAAATAAAAACAAAAAACGTTCTGCATTCTCCACTTAGCTGCATGAATGACTAATGAGTCAGATCTGATAAGCAAAGACTACTTCTGTATTCATCAATGTAAAGTCTATGTAGAAAATCCAGATATAAATATATCTTCTATATCAAGATCTGTATCCTTCAATTCCTCTAATAAGGTAGTAAAGGCTTGTATAATGTGAATCCTGGAGAATAAGTAAATGAACAATGAATACAAAAAATCCCTGAAATGACAATATGTCTGTCCTGAGCCTTCTGCTTCAAAATAAATCCTAACTGGCAACCAGGTGACTTTAACCATTAGCCGCCCGGCCAATGGCCGTTTGGCGGCTTCAAATGTGTTGCTGCATTCTGGGTGCACACCATTTGGCGTGCTCCCGCACATGCGCAGTTTGCGCTAATGCAGAGCGGCGCAGCAGCGCGATCTGTCACCGGCCGTGCACCTTGGACACGGCCAATGACAGATCCGAGTACCGGCTCCCTTTGCTGGTACCATTTGACCTGCTGTGACCAATCACAGCAGGTCACATGACAGTTGTATACAATGGATGGCTTCATTCATGCCATCCATTGTATACTAGTGCCTAGCTGTGAATGATCACAGCTAATCACATGCACATGTCATGTGATTAGCTGTGACCAAATCACAGCTAAGCACAAAAAAAAAAAAAAAAAAAAAAGCTGAATGAATCGATTTCATTCAGGTAAATGCTTGCTTATAGCAAAGTAATTCTTTGCTATAAGCAAATTGTGTAAAAAAAAAAAAAAAAAAAAAATACTGATCACTTCCCCAAAGTATTACAATGTTACTATGGTAACATTGTACTACTTTGGTCATAGTAAAATATGAAAAAAAAATCTTAAAATTTTTTTTAAAAAATGTAATAAAAAATTAAAAATATTAAAAAAAAATATATATATATATATTTTTTTTTTTTTCATACTGTCACCAGTCAGTGTCCCTGTTCACCGCCATGCCAGTTATATGATGACGCTTTACTGCACTGGTGACAGTATGTAAAAAAAAAAATAGTGAAAATAATTTTTTTAATTTTTTCATTTTCCGAAAAATTATGACAAAAAAAATACAACTTCAAAAAACTTGCCATGCCTCTTATGAAGTACGTCGGACTGTCTACTCTGCAAAAAGGGGTCATTTGGGGATATCTGTACTATTCTGACATTCTTGGACCTCAAGAAATTAGATTGGCTGTCAGTACTTCAGGATTGATCAATATTCAGATCTATACCATAGTTTGTGAACTCTATAACTTTCCTACAAACTAAATAGTACATCCTAATTTGGGTTATTTTCACCAAAGACATGTAGAAGAATACATCTCGGCCTAAATTTATGAAGAACAATTATTTCTTTGTAAACTTTTATAACAGAAACAAAGAAAAATGTGTTTTTTTTTTCAAAATTTTTGGTCTTTTTTTGTTAATTTAGCAAAAAATAAAAACCCCAGCGGTGATTAAATACCACCAAAAGAAAGCTCTAGTTGTGTGAAGAAAATGATAAAATTTTAGTTTGGGTACAATGTTGTATAACCGCGCAATTGTCATTCAAAGTGTGAGAGCGCTGAAACCTGAAAAATGGCCTGGGCAGGAAGGTGTAAAATTGCACGGTATTGAAATGGTTAAGAATACATTATGTAGAGTATTCGTTTATTACCTTTTTAGTGGATATTCATGTGGATAAAGAACTGTAGGTTCACAGAGTATGGTCATGGCCAATCGGCCGATATTCAAAAAATTGCAATGGTTTAGCTTCTAGAATGAACAGAGATTTATTAATCACATGATTTAAGAAAAACATCAAAATGATGAGTGTGGTTGGAGTATATAATTACCATAATAGAAACCAAGACGCTTCCAGTGATAGCTCATCCACTGCTTTTTATAGTGCATTATTTGCATACTTTCATCTCTATTTCGCCCTCTTGTGTTGAAATGTCATCACTACAATGTTAGTCCAGATTTAATTAAAAATACATATGATTGACAGTGAACATTAGAAAATGGCCAAAATATTAAAATAAGCGTTCCAGAAATGGGAGCTCAGAATGATCTGATCCTTGATCTTCTAGAATTTTTACTAACACATAATTTTTTTCAATTTTTGGGTACATTTTATCAACAAATCTGTGGCACATCTATGGGAGCCCCATGGGCCCCAGCTTATGCCTGTCTCCATCTAGGATTATGGGAGAAAGATCTAGTATATACATCACCTATGTTTAAAAAATATGTAATACAGTGGCTTAGATATATTGATGATATTTTGATGGTTTGGGAGGGAGAGATCGAACAATTACAATTACGTTTTTTAATCGGTTTGAATTTAAATGATAAAAATATAAAATGAACATATATTTTTGATAATGAAGAGATCTCATTTTTAGATCTTTCCATCTCAATCCATGAGAATATTTTGACAACAAAGACATTCAGAAAAGAAACAGCAGCGACTACACTTTTACATGCCACTAGTCATCATCCTGAGACTTTGATACAAGGCATCCCAATAGGTCAATTCATGAGGATTAAAAGGAATTGTATGGATGAAGTGCAATACCAAACGGAAACAATGCAACTTTATCAAAGATTTAGAGAAAGGGGTTATTCCCATAGAACTTTGAGAAAAGCAAAATATAAGGCCTCATGCAAAGCTAGAAAGGACTTGATTACCAATATCAATCTAAACACAACAAAATGAACCAGTCAGGTTCATAACTAAATTTGGACAACAATGGAAAGAAGTTAGAAAAGTCTTAAATTTAAAGAATTTCTGGAAAAATTAATTGTTATAGTAAATATAAATAATTAAATAATCTCACATCTTTATTGTTACCTGAAGTAGCTGACTAAGTAAGAACACTATCTGAAGCTTATTTTAATATTCTGGCCATTTTCTGATGTTCACTGTCAATCATATGTATTTTTAATTAAATTTGGACTAACATTGTAGTGATGACATTTCAACATAAGAGGGCGACATAGCGATGAAAGTATGCAAATAATGCACTATAAAAAGCAGTGGATGAGCTGTCCCCTCCCAGTTCTGATGAAGTCCACGATCATTGGCGGATGAAACGCGTCAATGTAGTGACATCATCACGCCCTGCATCCTTCCATGCTGCGTTGTCCATGAGGGTAAAGAAGCAAGTCATGCGTCTCCATCTTGGATAAACATGAGGCAAAACGGAAAAACACTAATACATACAACTCCCAGGAGTTTTTTTACAAATATAAGTGGCTTAGTTCACTTCCACCAGTGGCAAGTACCTCTAAATAGAGATAAGTCATACTCTGCTAATATCAGTGATATGGGGTTGCGATACCTCATGCCGCAATTGGGAATTCAAGGAAATTTTTGGGCCTTCTATAGGTGAATATTGAATATTATCTCATTAGTATTTTTATGCAATACGGGACATATTTCTATCCCTGTAAGGAACTGCACTTGCTCTCATATAACGAGAAATTTTTGAAGCCCATTTTTAGGCAAATCACATGCCGGTTTAAGTGCTTTAATACACAATTAAGACTTTCCTATCTTATACAACCATTTTTTTGACTCAAAGGAGAAAATACCTCTCTTCTACCTCTGAAAACATATTCATGTTAAACATATCAGTGGAAGCGTCTTGGTTTCTATTATGGTAATTATATACTCCAGCCACTCATCATTTTGATGTTTTTCTTCATGTGATTAATAAATCTCTGTTCATTCTAGAAGCTAAACCACTGCAATTTTTTGAATATCGGCCGCTTGGCCATGACCATACTCTTGTGAACCTACAGTTCTTTATCCACATGAATATCCACTAAAAAGGTAATAAACGAATACTCTACATAATGTATTCTTAAAGTCACCTGGTTGCCATTTAGGAATTATTTTGAAGCAGAAGGCTCAGGACAGACATATTGTCATTTCAGGGATTTTTTGTATTCATTGTTCATTTATTTATTCTCCAGGATTCACATTATACAAGCCTTTACTACCTTATTAGAGGAATTGAAGGATACAGATCTTGATATGGAAGATATATTTATATCTGGATTTTCTACATAGACTTTACATTGATGAATACAGAAGTAGTCTTTGCTTATCAGATCTGACTCATTAGTCATTCATGCAGCTAAGTGGAGAACGCAGAATGTTTTTTGTTTTTATTTTTTTATTCTATTTTTATGTTTGAAAACTGTTCACCATGATATAATGTCAACCTTTCTATGATCTATGTGATCTAAATAAATACTATTTGTATTCACTTATTTAGTGATTATTACTCTGCATAGGATTTGTAATATACCACTTTGTGGCAGGTCTGCTCTTGTCAGCTGCTAATTTTCTTTCCAGAGGATATGTAAACATGGACAATGTGTTGCCAGCAGTGGTGGTGCAGGCGCTGAATACATAGTACACATCTTAAATAATATGAATGTAATCGGGTGTCTGTATGAGTTGGGATGCCGTATGGACCACTCTTTATACGGCCGTGAGCATGAGACCTTAGATTGTCTGTCTGTTTTTATACACTGATTTCCCCTTTTCCTGTAGTATGTACAATATATATCAGTCCTATTTTGTTTTTTTTCCCCAGTTTCTTGTCTGTATTTTAACAGCTTTTATCTTTTTCTTGCTCTCGATCAGCTGATTTTCTTTCCTTACTCGTCTGTCCATCAGCCTACTGAAGAGATCTCCTCTCTGATGTCTTCTCTCCTTCCTCCTTCTTTCCTTTTTGGATTATGATCTTTTCATTATGGTGATAAGGTAATATTGTTAGTAATACAGCAAACACAAATTCTTATTTTAAAACGGCAGGTAAACAAACAAATCTACTGATTTATACAATGCAGTTTATGCAGGAATGTGTGTTGCATTTAGGCAACTAACCCATGCTGAATGAGCATCCAACACACCAAAATGCCCCAAAAAATGAACGTTACATTCTCAAGGTTCCACAATGCACAATTGGCCTCCACAAGCGTTGGGTTGGTTTTGCAAGGTGCGTTCTACCGATTGTGTTCTCCTGTGTTATTGTATTGCGGTTTTATGCACAATTTAGTGAATATTTACCACAACACACAGATGTGAAGCCAGTCTAAATATCTTTTTTTAAATAATGCCAGCACAGATTAAATCAGGCTGATTGGTAGGTCATGCACTGCAAAAGCTTTATTGCACTACACTAGGCTGGTTTTTCAGGCACTGGGAGCTAGAATGGAAGTGTTCAGACAGCTTAGAGGAGGAGGAGGGAGGAAAAAAAGGACTTAATCAGGGTGATGATGCTTATCTCTAATCCAGTGACTAGGCAGGTGACACAGGAAGCTGTAAAACTGCCATATAAAACACTGTTGCCTCCCACATGTATGATTTCAAATGTGATGTAATAATAGTACAGATCTTTTAGAAGGCAACAGAACGGATGTCCACAAATTTCAACAGTGTATTTATCTTTTTTCTTGTTTTGGAATAATTATGAAATCATTTAAATCCCTGTCAAGCTTGCAGTCTGTGTCTCACTTGATAGATTTCCCTTCTCCTTCTGTCTTGGAGAGACAACACAGAAAGTCTAAAAAGTGAGAAGAAATTCCCCCTTAGACAGTTATCACCAGAACAAGTATCTCCACTGGATGAGTTCCCCTCCTGTTGCTGTGACAGTGGGGAAATTTAGATTTGACAAATGTCACAAGGACAAATTCAGAGGGTGAATTGTCCTTACTACACACAAACTGCAAAGAAACAATGCTATGGGGGTGGGTGAGGGGGGTCAGCAATTCTTCTCTCTAAAGACCTAAAAGAACAGATTTTGGCTATAAATTTACTTTAACATTGGTTTGGAGCCAGGCATTAAAACTTTTCTAGGTCTAAACTTACTAAGTTAGGGAGGTTGAAAAAAAGACCCTAGTCCGTCTTGTTCAACCAATAGAAAAAAGGTATTGAAAATCCCATATACACAATCCTATACCCACAGTTGATCCAGAAGTAGGCAAAAAACCCAATAAAGTGAGATCCAATATGCTCCAATGGGGAAAAAAAATCCTTTAAGATCTCCTGGGAGGCAATTGGAAAATCCTTGAATCTACTACCCCTATTACCTCTTAATATTAATATCCAGTCATATTTTGAACATTTAGGAAAAAATCCAGACCTTTTTAAAAACAATCTACTGAGCTGGCTAGAACCAGTTCTTGAGGGAGTCTATTTCACAAATTTGCAGCTCTTACTGTGAAGAAGCCTTTCCGTATGTGGAGATTAAATCTCTTCTCCTCCAGGCATAGAGTACACCCATGTCCTCTGTAATGACCTGAAAGTGAATAACTCTACACCAAGTACACTATATGGACCACTGATGTATTTATATATGGTGATCAACTTCCCCCTTAATCTCCCCTACTCAAGAGAGAATAAATTCAGTTCAGCTAATCTTCTCTCATAACTTAGCTCCTCCATGCCTCTTATTAGTTTTGTTGTTCTTCTCTGCACTTTCTCCAGTTCCCCAATGTTCTTTTTTATCCTACACTAAGCTGTATTGAATCAGATAAAACCTGAAAACAAAAATGTAATATATTGTAGCTTATCAGTCCTTGGATGTGGTCGCTGCATTGCGTTTATTTTTTCAGGCTAAGAACATTTTCAGCAAGTACAGAAGATCCCAGTTGTTCTTGACACAAATGCAGAGTTCTTTGATACATCCTGTGAGCTGAAAGGAAAGCATAAAGGACCTTTTATTTATTGTGTAAATCACAGTACTAATTTTACCAATAAATTATGTAATGGAGATAAACAAAGGACTGCTCTGATGTTTGAAATCTAGCTTGGGTGACAACCATGGAGGCCCCCATAGATAGTGTAGAAACTAAGGAACAGGAAGTGTCTCATTGGCAGGATCACCAAGTTAAAACAAGGGGAAAAAAACTGAAAAAAGAATACTAATGCAATCAACACATCTAAGGATTGGTAAGCTACAATAGATTACATTGTTGTTTTTCAGCTTTGATACATTTCATCAACCTACAACCAGTAAGAGCGTTACAATGCTCACAAAGCACTGCATCACTGGAGTATTTACAAGACTATCCTGTAATCATTCAGAGAATTACAACATTCAGAGAACTATTCAGAGAATTAGAATTTGACAGTCAGAGCATTACAGCATTTTTTATTCAAATAGAGCAATGTTTAAAAGTACTGTTGCCTTTTTGATCTACAAAACTATATGTATAGAATCTCCTGTGCTATAATCTTGAGGATGTTGTAAAATCATATGACCACCAGAAATAATATATGGTAAACATGGTCATACTCTTTTCCGACACTTTTTCTGTAAGCTTTTCTTTTTAAATGATGTTTTTGTTTTCAGGATTTAAGACCTGGAGATGTATCTGGTAAAAGGAACCTCTGGGAGAGACAGCAAACAGACAAGGCTTCCACACCATCCAAGGTGAGCTCAGCACTCCTTTCCAAGTGTACATACTTCAAAGAGAACCAGTAAAGGAAATCAGCAAAAATCAGAATCCACAATTTTAAAGGACAAGTTCACTTTTGGGAATATGTCACTTGTTCCACACGTTTTTACAGTTGAACATGTAACATGTTCACAATGCTGTAGCCACTACCCGATTCCCACCCTCCCTGTGACAGCAGTAGGGGGAGAAGTTCCCCGTACAAGCTGTCTCTTTTTAAAAAAACAGCGCTGATCATTGTTGCAATGCTTTACAGGCTCCCAAAGCAAAAATTAATAAATGCACAATTTTTTTACCTACAAAAATATGTGCATTTATTATTTTTTTGTCAAAAGGTGAACTTTTCCTGTTAAGTTGTTATACATTCTCAGGAGGGCTGTGTGTGCTGTAATTTAGTTGTATTCTCTCCCAATCAGGGCATAGATGTCAACTGAGGCTGTATGGTTCCCATGAAGGTTGACATCTCATGGCCTGAGCTTAGAACTGATAACTGACATTCTGTATGGGCTGCTGCTATAGGATCAAACCATCAATTAACAAAGTCTTTGGCTTTCTTTCATGTTAGCATCTTTGTTATATGCCAATTTTTGAGTGTCTGTTTTTGGCACTAAACTCAGAGGGGAAATTTGAGCTCCTCACAACATACCACCGGCCTTGGTGTGTAGTGGGCAGGGAGTAGCACAAAGTCAAATGGCTTTAATATTAAAGTCCAATCTTTAAAGTGTTGGACAAAAATTAAAGAAAAACATATGCAGCACATTTTTGCAATACATGTACATATTCCAATTTTTCTATCTACAGGTGAAATTCGAAAAATTAGAATATTGTGCAAAAGTTCATTTATTTCAGTAATGCAACTTAAAAGGTGAAACTAATATATGAGATAGACTGATTACATGCAAAGCAAGATAGTTCAAGCCGTGATTTGTCATAACTGTGATGATTATGGCTTACAGCTCATGAAAACCCCAAATCCACAATCTCAGAAAATTTGAATATTACATGCAATCAATAAAACAAGGATTGTACATAGAACAATATCGGACCTCTGAAAAGTATAAGCATGCATATGTACTCAGTACTTGGTTTGGGCCCCTTTTGCAGCAATTACTGCCTCAATGCGGCGTGGCATGGAAGCTATCAGCCTGTGCCACTGCTGAGGTGTTATGGAAGGCCAGGATGCTTCAATAGTGGCCTTCAGCTCTTCTGCATTGTTCGGTCTCCTGTCTCTCATCTTTCTCTTGGCAATGCCCCATAGATTCTCTATGGGGTTCAGGTCAGGCGAGTTTGCGGGCCAATCAAGCACGGTCATTGAACCAGGTTTTGGTGCTTTTGGTAGTGTGGGCAGGTGCCAAATCCTGCTGGAAAATGAAGTCAGCATCCCCATAAAGCTCATCTGCGGAAGGAAGCATGAAGTGCTCCAAAATCTCCTGGTAGATGGCTGCGTTGATCCTGGACTTAATGAAGCACAGTGGACCAACACCAGCAGATGATATGGCTCCCCAAATTAACACAGACTGTGGAAACTTCACACTGGACTTCAAGCATCTTGCAGTGTGTGCCTCTCCATTCTTCTTCCATACTCTGGGTCCTTGGTTTCCAAATGAGATGCAAAAGTTGCACTCATCAGAAAAGAGGACTTTGGACCACTGAGCAACAGACCAGGTCTGTTTTTCTTTAGCCCAGGTAAGACACTTCTGACGTTGTTTGTTGTTCAGGAGCGGCTTGACAAGAGGAATACGACATTTGAAGCCCATGTCCAGGATCCATCTGTGTGTGGAGGCTCTTGATGCACTGACTCCAGCCTCAGTCCACTCCTTGTGAAAGTCCCCAACACTTTTGAATGGCCTTTTCCTTACAATCCTCTCCAGGTTGCGGTCATCCCTGCTGCTTGTGCACCTTTTTCTTCCACACTTTTCCCTTCCACATAACTTTCTATTAATGTGCTTTGATACAGCACTTTGGGAACATCCAACTTCTTTTGCAATTACCTTTTGAGGCTTTCCCTCCTTATGGAGGGTGTCAATGATGGTTTTCTGCACAACTGTCAGTCTTTCCCATGATTGTGATTCCTACTGAACCAGACTGAGAGACCATTTAAAGGCTCAGGAACCCTTTGCAGGTGTTATGGCTTAATTAGCTGATTAGAGTGGGACACTTTGAGCCTAGATTATTGCACCTTTTCACAATATTCTAATTTTCTGAGATTGTGGATTTGGGGTTTTCATGAGCTGTAAGCCATAATCAGCACAATTATGACAAATCAAGGCTTGAACTATCTTGCTTTACTTGTAATGAGTCTATCTCATATATTAGTTTTACCTTTTAAGTTGCATTTCTGAAATAAATTAACTTTTGCACAATATTCAAATTTTTCGAGTTTCACCTGTATATAAAGACCCTGCAAGTACAGAAAAATATCTATTGATCTGCCAAAAATACACTCGGCTTCTAAGACATGGGTTATGGGTTGACAACACACAGGGGTTGATTTACAAACACTGGAGAGTACAACATCTGGTGCAGCTCTGCATAGAAACCAATCAGTTTCAATTTTTTTTTGTCAAAGATTAGTTGAACAAGCTGAAGTTAGAAGCTGATTGGCTACTATGCACAGCTGCACCAGATTTTGCACTCTCCAGTTTTAGTAAATCAACCCCACAGTGTTTATGTGGACTGAATGGTGTCACCCTGTCCAGTTTTCTCCTGCCAAAGTACTCAGACCCACTTACTCTCCCATCTCCACCACATAAAAACTAATCAATCTGCAATCCCAAGATAAGGACTGAGAGGGCTATTTGCTCTCTTTGGGACAACAAAGGAACACTGGACATAAGACAGCTCTGAATTCATGATACGAGCGACAAGTTTTTTTCTGCTCTTATCAAAGAGATATAACAAAATTCTTTCAGTTATATATTTAACAGACTAAGAAGGAGCAAATAAGATAAGCCCATTGTTAGGATTTAAATAAAAGTGCTGCGTGATTCAACAAGATAACCAACACCAAAAGAAAATCATAAGAGTGAGTCCATAAAATACAACTAAGGAAAAGATTGCCCAAGGGACTTTATGAGGCATACAAAATATGTTAAAAAGAGTCACATTTTATTAGAAAAAAAGACATTAAAAACTGTCAAAGAATTAATGTATAAATCATGATAAACGCATAAAGCTCATAATATATAAGGAAGTAAAGATGATAGCGCATACACAATCTGCATTGTCCGTATGTTACAGAAGACAAACTCTTGCAAAAGATCTTGACACGTTTTGTGAAGTAGCATTCACTTCTTCAGGAGATAACAAAGCTTGCAAATATACAAATAAATATGATCTAAAGAGAGAGCAGTTCATTAGTGCATTGAGGGAAAAAAATGCTTACCACAAAGTCAATACATGCCAAAAATTTATATAAATCAAATGAAGGGCTGGAGATCCACCGGGAAAGATAGATGGTGACTAAAGGGCAACCACCCAGCAATAACCGTCCTGGCTGGAAGCTGTGAGGAGGATCAGATAAATCCACTAGGGGCATATAGTAGGAAGTGCAAGAAGAAACCGTCAAAATGGTAGACACGAAAGGTGAAAATAAAAAAAGTTAAAAAACAGCTATACTAAAAGGAAAAAACATGAGTAAACAATAACAAAAATGTTCAGAAGTGCGTGGGTGAAGAAATGGTAAAATAGTGAGCAAAAATGAGCCAAGAAACTAAAAAGTTTGGCTCATTTTAGTTTTTTTTTGGCTAATTTTTTGAATGCCCTGACTCCCTCTATGGGCATATGAGTCCATAAAATACAGTGTAAAATTATAAAAGTCCCAAAGTGGCAAAGTGACATCCACAGATTGCAATATCTTTTCACATAATTCACCACCTCAGTGATCTACCACCGCATGCTGTATCAAACACGATTACAAGTGTATTGACGAGTGTATTGACTCTCTAAATCAAAAAGATCAAAAGTGCATCTGTGTCTGAAAGGTCCCACATAAGATAGTATAAACCACCTCAAGGTCCGGCTACTCCATCAGCAAAACATCCTCTTCCAAAACATGGTGACGGCACCCTCGCCAGTCAGCGTTAATCTCCTCTACAACCACCACGGACTTGCTCAGCACAACGTGTTTCTGTTCAATTTCAATGCAACTACAAAGCCTCATGAGAATGCGGGACCCGAACAGAGGATGTCTCATGTGTATTCTATAAGTTATGTTTGTTAGGATTTACATACACTTTATTCTGATTGGTCACTATGGACAGCAATGTAGCCCCTTTATTTTTTTTCTATACTCTTCACTTTAGTTTTAATGGATCAAACCCTCTTTGGCAGTTTGTATCTGTTTCATATCCCTTATCCCTTTTTTCTTTGTTTTCCTTTTAGGTGACAGCTGGAGGGAAAAAGTCTGACACTAATGGTGGGTAATATTTTTTTTTTCTTAGATTTTCATATAAACTTCTTTATCATTTAACATTACCTTATTAATAATGTAACTTGTACAATAAATATTTTAAGGAGAAGTATGGGCTTAAAAAACAAACAAACATATATACTCAACTGAATGCTGAAGCATTGGTGTTATTTTGCAGCTGTACTACATCAGATCTAAGACCTGAGAACTGAGAGATCACATGATTGCTGACTGCTCAGTTCTTGGTTTGCTTCTAGTGAAGAGCAGTGCAGTTACTGCTCTCCGCTCTGCCCCTTCAACGCTCACTTCCCAGGCACTGGAGACAGCAAGCACTGCTGGCCGAGGCTTCACTGCATTCTGAAAGGTGGAGCCAGCTGTCAATCAGGCAGTGAGGTAGATCCCAACAATATTCTCAGGATCCATCCAGAGCTTGGTGCTCTATGATGCCAGCTGATAATAGGCAACAGCCCACTATAAGTTGAATCTGGGTTACAGGAGAACAGAAGTATTGTACTCTTGTGGCCCACAAGTGAAGTTTGGCCAAAAATAGCTTCAGCCATACTTCTCTTTTAAAGCCCAGATGAAGTTGAAAAAGTATATATTCAGGCAAAGTTAGGTATTGTATTTACAGCCTTCATCTTCATCGTCTTAAGCCGACCAAAAACGAATTGAAATTCGTCCGGTTCAGCAGCCGGGTCATGGGCAGCCTGGTCGTGCTTAAGTTAATGTATTGATAAACTTCAGTACAGACTTTAATTGGGTTTTTAATAGTTCAGGTCAGTCCACCTTTTTTAAATTTATTTTTAGTTTAGTTTTGGTTGGAAAATGGTTCCTTGAATCTTATGGGCTTTTTAAGTATTGCGATCTGTGCCGAAGAGCTCTCAGGTGTAAAGGGGATGTAAACCCTACCAATGAAATTCTCTTAAGTGGTCCATTTTGGTCTGGTAAATATACCACTGCAAATGTTTGGTATATCTGTTCGATACATGCAGAATAAAATACCTGTTGATCCTGCACGCTGATAAATTCCTGTGCTTTTGTCTTTGCGACACTTATTGGTTACGTTGTTCCTAACTGTCTCTAAGGAGTACAAAACCCATGCCCTCTATCTCATAGAGAAGAGGAGAGGGGAAATTGTTCTGTAGCCTTGTTATAGAGTGACAATGCTTCATAGCTACTGTACAGAGTGAGAGTTGTCGCCTTATGGCAGAAAGTGTGTTACTGGCAGGAACACCTAGTGAAAATAAAGTGAAAAAAGCATGCAAAACATATACTGTCACCATATATAAGGGCTAGTAAGATGCAATATATTACAATTGATTCTAGGGTTTCCTAGAATTCCATGTTTTAGTTACACTTTAACCACTTGCCCTCCTGAGGATTTGCCCCCCCTTCCTGACCAGGCCATTTTTTGCGTTACAGCGCTGAGTTGCGCGGTCATGCAATGCTGCACCCAAATGAAATGTACGTCCTTTTTTCCCACAAATTGGGCTTTCTTTTGGTGGTATTTGATCTCCTGTGCATTTTTTTGCGCTATAAAAAAAAGCCCGACAATTTTGAGAAAAAAACAATATTTTTTACTTTTTGCTATTAAACATGTCCAGTAAAAAAATTTAAAACATAAAATTTTGTCATAAATTCAGGCCAAAATGTATTCTGCTACATATCTTTGCTAAAAAAAAATCCCAATATGTGTAAATTAATTGGTTTACGTGAAAGTTGCAGCATTTACAAATGTCGGTATATATACTGGAATTTTTTTTTTTTTTTTTTACTGGTAATGGTGGCCATCAGCGACTTATAGCTGGACTGTGGGACTGCGGCGGGCATTCTGACACTGGGGGGAATTGACTTGGTGTCACTGACATCCCTAGTGACACCAATACTTTGATCAGTGCTAGCACTGATACTGTATTAATGGCACTGGGCAGGAAGGGGTTAACATGAGGGGCGATAAAAGGGTTAACTGTGTGCTGGGAGTGTTTTACTGGAGGGGCGGTGTGTTGGTACTTCACTGAAAGCACACTGTTCTGGATGGCTGTGCTGTGCACAGCCATCCAGATTAGTGTGCCCGAGCCAACAGGGAGGAGGACTGTTGGTAAACAAAGCAGCCCTCCTCCCCGTTGGAGATCCTCGGTAATCACCGGGCGCGGGCAGGTAATCACCGGTCGGGACCCGCTGATTGACAGCCGTGGCCCTGGAAATGCAAAATCACGTATATATATATATATATATGTGATTTTGCGTATCCCTGCTGCCCTGTAGCAGTATTTCTGCTATAGGGCGGCGGGGATGTGGTTAAAGAGTTTGTTTGGGCTGAGTTGGTCCAAATGAACTATTTCCTTCAATAACACATGCATCGGCTGTCAGCACTGTATGAAGTGTATGTAGCTACATACATTATACAGTGCTGTGTTCTAAATGAATACAAAGCTTCCGTTGACTGGCTGAGGCTAAGATTATGACATCATCCTCCCACCTCTCCAGTTCAGCCAATCAGAGAAAGTCTTGTATTCATTCAGAAATTCATTCAGCTGAGGTTTCATACAGTTTTTATACAGTGCTCACAGCCGCTGTATATGTTAGTGATGGAACTAAGCTGGTCCTCAGTATTACGAGCAGGGCCCTCTGTTTCCTCTTGTACAAATTGTATTGTAACTGTAATGTCTACCTTCATTTTGTAAAGTGCTGCACAAACTGTTGGCGCTATATAAATCCTGTATAATAATAATTACTTTTAGCACCATCATGTACAGTATGTTGCCTCTCTGCAGCAAGTTTAATCCATAGAGAAAAGGATACATACAATGAAATGTGTCCGCTTGTGGAATATTCTGTGTTACTATATGCAGGCACCTAGAAGATTTAGGATTTTTTTTTTTTTTTTAAACAAAAAAAACTCTTTACGCCAAAGTAGGTAATATTTTACATTTTAATGTTTTAAACATGTTCTCTTTTTCTTGTGCAGGATTAAGATTTGAAAAGGAGCCATAGGAAGCTTTCCAAAGCAACCAGACCAACTCAGATAAAGTGCTAAACTGTCCTTTTTTTATATTTATGTTTACTTACCAAAAACGTGTTTCTCATTATGCTGAATACAACCATGTATATTAGCACTGTATTTAATGCCCACCCTCCTCCAAACCGCTAGACATTCAGGAGACTACAGTACTGCCTTTGCACAAGATCTTAAAGGAATTGTCCAGTCAGCTGCAGATTTCCAGAACTTCACAAGTTCCCTCTTGAAACAAAATGTAAAAGTTGTTCCCTGACCACAGTTTCCATGGTACGATTGGCAGTTTACCTCTCCTACTTCCTCGCTGTTTTGTGATTGACTCAGTCAATGGACATGTGAAAGGGGCAGTCATAAAGCAGAAAACTCTGTTAATTGCACCATTGAAACATGAGACCCAGTTACCATACCAGTTTCCGGAAAAAGCTTGGCCAGAAGCCATTGCAAATCTGTGACTATCTGGAGAATCCTTTTAAGAGAAGCAGCTGTGAATCAAATATATTTCTACTGATATGTATTGCTTTATTATACCACAAAGTCATGATTAATCTAGAAAGGCAGTTCCCATGAGACTATGCACCAATAGAATTATGCTGCACTTTAGAGTAGAACAGTTTAATAGTTTATGTTAACAACCATTGTCTGGTAGGATATTACTGATTAGCTCAAATTATTATTTTTATTATAATTTTTTTTTTTCCTTTAAAAAAACTACTTTAAATATCAACCTTTACACTTTGTTACAATAAAGCCAATATTTTGGTCCGTATTAGTCAACTTTTTGGTACTTTTATGGTTGACCGTATAGTGTTATAGTCCAACAACTGCAGTTTTAAACACAAATAGCTTTAAACTTTACAGCACTATTAAACGCAAAAGGCTTTTTATATGTGCTAGAATATACAGTATTTAGAGATTTATTTTTTTTTTTTTTTTTTTACATAATAGCCATTATCACTGCTTTTATTAATTCACTCTAGTTTAGGATAATTTTGTCATTCACCAAATTAGGAAAAAAAAAATGTAAGCCCATATTATCAGTCTAAAAATAATTTTTAAAAACCCAACTGAACTTTCAGTTCAATATAGCCAGACACATTTTAGGTGCATCAAAACAAAAGGTGTGCACTTACAGCATACTTTGTTTAGCCACAGCCTGAATAGAAAAGTCTGTATGTTGCCAGCCTGCTGCAGAGAAGATCCCTTGCTGTCTGTGTGGAAGCAGCAGTTTCCTCTGCAGAGGTCTGTCATGCATTGCTCCCAAAGCTCTAGCTTTGAGCTCTCAGCAGGGAGACCACTGCTTCTACACCTAAAGCCCTTCCCTATACCATGCTGGCAAGGAACAGGTTTTTCTTCTCAGGCTGTGGCTACCTTCTAAAAAAAAAACAAGCTGTAAGCCTGTGTCTGCTTTCCATGCACACCATGTGTTTTGATGCAGCTGTTATGTATTTAGCCATTTTAAACTGAAAGTTCAGTTGAGCTTTCATGAGGCTTACCAACTTCGTTTGAATTTGCATATAAATGACAAAATTAACGATGACCGTAATTAATTTATAAAAAATTTTTTTTCAATGGCAAAGTTCAACATCCTGCCAATGCAATTACAATATTCAGTTAAATATATATGTATTTTTTTTTTTATTTTAGTCTTTTTTAGTCCATTCCAAAGATGTTGACAGGCAGGTTTCATTGTATATGTATATAGTAAACCTTGGCACCATCACTGCAAAAATTAAAATTTTTACTTTACAGACAGTGTGGGTTTCTAAGCCAGGTGGTGATTTAATCGGTAATATGCTGTACTTCTTATGCCATTTTGTTTGTATCATCGTAATATACAAAAAAAAAATTGAATCACACTGTTTTGCTATTCAGAAGGTTAATATCACTGCTTTGCTGAAAATTGTACTCCTTATTAATAATGCAGACTTTTACTTACAAGATGCAAATGCACTCGGTTACATGTGGGATGTCAGCCTGCACAGCTGCCATGTATTGTCCGCAAAGCTGTCATCTGTGATCATTTCAGCCGCATAGAAAAGTTTTTTTTTCAACAATGTATTATGAAACTGCAACCACAATAAATTGATAAATCTTCTTTCCTGTCTCTCATTTCTGGACGTAATGATGGGGGAGAACTGGGGTAAAGAAAATCATTTTATTGAGGTAGATTTTAAAAAAAGCACCACATTTATTTACATACCTGAGTTTGGCTTGATTCCAGCCTCGTGCAATCTCTTCTGTCAATGCTCCAAAAAGTATAATGTGCCTTACCAGTAGGAAAATGCATTTTCAATCTTATGTCCTTTGTGTTATACAGCCAGGAATGCACATTTTATACCTACCACTGCATTGATTATAAAGTGGAATTAGAAATTAAAGCAAGCTTTTATCCTCTGGATTTGGAATATCTAGTAGTGATGTTACAGCTCGTGGATAGAACCATAGTGCCTGGCTGAGGACGAGCTATCCAATACACCTGGAAGTGTCAGACAACAACGGCACTTGAAGGTCAATGATCAAAGATTCCAAGGTTAGGGATAGAATTTTTGGAACAAGAACAGGTATAAAATAGCTGAAAAGAGCTTCCATGACCCTTAGGAGCCATGGACAACATATTGATCACATCTATCTATCCATTCAGTCGTATCCGACCCTTGGTGATTGCATGGACCGTCACTCGTAAGTGACTTTTTCCACGAATTCTCTTAGCAATTATTTTTACAGGGTAGATTGCTAGGTCTTTCCCCAATCCCTACCATGCAGGAAATCCCACGTGGCCAGGGATGAAACTAGGATAATTTAGACAGGAGCCAATTAACCTACCAGCATGTCTTTGGAGTGTAGGAGGAAACCAGAGTACCCAGAAGAAACCCACATGAACACAGGGAGAACATGCAAACTCCATGCAGGAGGTGCCATGGTTGGGAATTGAACCCATGACCCAATTACTGGAAGGCAGAAGTGCTAACCACTAAGCCACTGTGCCACCCATTGATCACATAAAACCACCAAAAAAACACCTTAAAGTGGCATTAACCTCTGGTTTGAAAAATGTATTCAAATATGTATGCTTAACTCATAACTGCTGTGATACAACTTCCTGTTAGAGGGTGGCTACGTTCATTCACCATAGTTCCACTGTTAGTAGGAACATAGCCACCCTCCCTTGCTCGCTCGTGAGCTGGACTATGGGATTTGTAGTGTGCATAAAGCAGTGCACATTACCATAACTAACGGGCACTGCTCGATCCTAACAAACATAAGTGATGGGGAAAAGGAGAGGTTTGGGAGCTAGGGTTTGGATGTTACTAGGAGGCACACACTAAAAAATAATTTAATGAAAAATAGATTACAAGTTGCAGAGTTAGTGGATGCATATACAGGGGTGTGGAAATTTTTGAAAAAAACTACTTGTCCAGGGACTAAATCTGTGTTCCGATCTACTTGTCCCTCATGACAATCTACTTGTCCTGATAAAAAAAAACATACATTTTAACCAAAACCATATTTAAATCTGCTTTACGTAATGTCTGGGGCTTTTAAAAGCAAAAGGGGCTTTATGTGGACTTAAACGTTTAATATTTTTACCATTGTGCTGTTTATCTCCTCCTCCTCTCCCTGCCTGTCTCCAGCACCGCACCCGGGGGCTAGCAGGGAGGGAGAGACCTTGCAGTTTAATGAGCACCGATTGGGTGCACGTCAGGAAAGGGGAGTGTCGGGCTTATCCTTTATCCCTTTCACTGCCAGAGCTGTTTTTTGCGTTTTTTGCACAGGTTTAAAAAATCATTTAAGCCCTGAAGATGACACATAACCCCCAACATTATGTATTTTCTGAAATCACAGACCCTAGAGAATAAAATAGCAGTAGTTTAAATTTTTTTTATGTAGCATCACGTCTAGGAAACTCATCACAAACACTTAAGTTAATTTTAGGACACAAAAAGAAATAAATTATCAAATTTTTGTAACATATAAAAGACGAGGTTGTATCGAGTAAATAGATATCCAACATGTCAAACCTTAAATTTGCGTGCACTCGTGAAACGGCAACAAACCTTAGTACCCTATATTTTCTATATGTGGCGCTTTTAAAGCCCCTTATAGGTCATCAGTTTAGCGTTATGGAGGAGGTCTAGTTCTAGAATTATTGCTCTCATTCTGGCGTCCGCGGCGATATGGTACCACAACAACATTTTCAGGTGTAGGCACCGCGACACCTCCTTTTTTATGTTTTGTGTGTGTGTGTACATACGTGGGGACCTCAGAAAATTTGGGGGGGGGGGTTATATGCTTGGGTGTAACTTCCTTCTTTTTTTTTTTTATCACACACAAGGGACAAAAAGTCCCCTATGTGATGATTTTTTGGTGATAGGCTCTCTTTTTTCAGACATCCAGGATCTAAAAGACCTTGCATGTCTTCCCTGTACTACACTGAATGTAATGCAGTGCACATTCACACCGCATTACAGTCTTTCCTAGCCTCAATGACCGGGAATCTGTCAAACAGGGACCCAGAAGTAACGTCACATCACTTCCGAGTCAGGACAAGAAGGGGAGGGGAGCAGATGTGTCTGCTCCCCTCCCTCCCCTATACCACAGAGCTTTAAAAACTATTCATCTAATACCCTACATATAGTACATGGTATAATTTATCATCAGTTCAAATCACAATGCAGTAAATCCTCAATAACTGAAATATAAAACGACTCAACACATACAGATATTCCATTTGCTGTCAGCTGATCTTCAAGATCAATCGTACAATCAGTTGAGACATTATTTTTTACTTTGATCTGTTGGTACTTACAATTAATTCAATATTTAGCACAGACTTTACATAGGACAGATATGAAGTTACTGATACATTTCTGGATCAGTGGATCAATGTAGCAAAAAAAAAAAAAAAAAGGTTTCTTATATTGATCAGGCAGTGCATACTGTATGTGTTTAGAAATTTTTGGTCCTGTTGATGAAATGA